TGCTCAAACCACTGTCAAACAGCCACAGTTTAGTAATTTTTGCTTTTCATAAGAGTTTAGGCTTTATTTGTTCTTAGACCCATTTACCTGATTTTTTGGCAGCCCATGGTGTCCACAGAACTCTCCTCCAGAAGCACATTTCAAATGACTTGATTCTCTTCCTGCCAACTTTCTTCACTATTGAGCTTTCACAACCAGCAGTTGAAAATACTATAGTGTGGATGATTTTAACTTTGATATTCAGTTATATAATGAGAATGTATACTACAAAGCACTTGAATTTAGATATTTTTATTGTAAGCAGTGAAGCTGGATGTCCTTCTGTGTGTTGCACAGTCTGTTGCTGTACTGGTGCTGGGTAATTCTATTTGTTATCTATTTTTATATCCTCTTGGACTTTCTTTGTACCCTCTGCTCTGCTGCTATGACTTCCTCAGGCTGTTGGTTTGCTGGGCAAAGCAGCCTTGCCTTCACCTAAACACTATCACTGTTGTCTTGTGCTGGCCACACATTTTTCTTTCTTTTTCTTTTTTATTCCACTATTGATTGATCCAATAAAAAAAAACAACAATATTTCTCTTGATTCTATGATTCCATGATTCTATAATTCCTCTAAGTTGTTTGCTCTGTGGGACCAAACCTGCACCAATGACACTGTCCCTCTGCTAATGTAGTATAAGAGTGGGTGGGTGGCTGTAACAGAAAAGCTAAATAAGCAAATCCATAAATAAATGAGTGGCTAGTTAATGATGCTTCTACTCTCTATGGGGGCCAACCTGAGAAGTCAAAGCTTATTTTTGTAATATAATCTGAACTCCCTTCACAATGGCTAATTGTTCCTTGTTATCCTCTCCCAAGTCTCAGTGAGTGATGTGGAGACGGTGCGTGAGGGACACCAGTCAGAGGTACTGCAAAGTCTAGCTGAGGAATTCCCAGCTGAGTGCTGTTTCACTGTTGTCTTCCATGGGCGCCGTAACAACCTGGACTTAATTGCTGGCTCAGCAGAGGAAGCTCAGTGTTGGATCCAAGGCCTGCGGCGCCTTGTGGAGATTGTCACTAACATGGACCAGAGGGAGAAGATAGATCAATATCCTTGCATACAGTCATCCACTGTTCACTTGTCTCCTATGTCTTTTCCCACAAAAGGGAATGTTGGATTGGTTCCAAATGTAGGCTATCCCCACTGAAAGACAACAAAGTTGCACTGTCTGTCACTAAAGTTGGGTCCCATTGATATCAATGAGTCTGTTCTAAATATTTCTAAGTCTGGATCCAAAAGACAATCTGAGCATTTTTACATGTCATAATTTCTTAATACTGTATATAATGTGAGGAAAGGATGTAGCTTCTTCTTGTAGTTGTTGGGTGCCTTCAATTTGCTGCTGAATTATGGCGACCCTAAGACAAACCAATTACGGGGTTTTCTTGGCAAGTTTCTTCAGAGGGTTTTGCTTCCCATTCTCTGAGGCTGAGAGTGTGTGACTTGTCCAAGGTCATGCAGTGGCTTTGCATGGCTGAGTGGGGATTTGAACACTGCTCTCCAGAGTCCTAGTCCAGCGCTCAAACCACTACACCAAGCTGGCTATCCCAGGATATAGGTTAATGGCATGAAAAAGTTTCCACTTTCAGTTCCTCATATCTCTAGGTAGGGCTGGGGAAAGAAGTTCTCATGTCTGAAACTTCAGAGACTTTCTGCCAGCATGTAGAAAACACTTGGCTAGGATGAATAATGATCTGACCATGTATATAAAAAAATATGTTCCTATATTATGATATTGTCATCCCATAACTTTTGCACCTTTCTCTTCACACTCTTCACAGTTTTATCTGTCTTCAGTTACATGCTTCTTTTTTGTGGTACTTCCCAATCAATTAATTACTTATGACATAGCTCCTCCTGAAGTAACCTCCTACAGCACACAATATAGCTTGCCTCAACTAAATGTTGTCTCTCATCATTCCATTCTGCATTAGTTCTTTCCAACACTTTCATTTCATATACTTTAAGTAACATAGAACTGCTGATACAAATTCTGGAAAGATTTAAGGGTCTGCCTTTTCCAAGCAATATGAAATTCATGGATGGGGAAAATATCCTCTCTATAAAGTTGTGCCTGTTGGATGAAGATCTTTCTCTTGCACAGATTCAGCCCATTCAGCTAGCCTGAGTCCATGCTATTGTGTCAAGATGACTGGTAGTGGGGAACAGATGTTGGGAAGGATAGCCACAAGGTAACAACATGCTGGATTTCAGAAGCTTCTTGGCTTGGCAGCATTTGGGTATGCTTGTATACCATGACTAGATTATTTTATGCTTTGAAGACATAGCTCTGCTCAAAACCTCTAGGTCATTTTTCCTTAACCCACATCTTGGACACATGGATCTGTGACTGGTTCCAAAAAGCTGATAAGGACAAGGATGGACGCATGAACTTCAAGGAGGTGCAGCACTTGCTTAAGATGATGAATGTGGATATGAATGAAGACCATGCCTACCGGCTATTCCAGGTGAATTTGGATAGTGTTATGAAGAAAATATAGAACTAATTTACATATATTTATCAAATGGTGACATCTAATTCTTTTCACAGCCACATTGCCACCATGATAAGCCTACTGTAGCTGTTTTACCTCTTCTTGGCCTCTCTGCTTGCAGTATGCACCTCCAAACTTTGCTGTATGATCTGTTTGCCAGTATTATACCTCTTCTCCCTCTCACCAGCCCCGATTGTAGCTACTTGCCTACCTTGATTACATTGCCTGTTAAACTCAGTGATAGCCTTCCCCAGAAGTTTGCCTTCAAGATGCTGGACTATAGTTCCTATTACAGTCAGCCCTCCATATCCACAGATTCTTTATCCATGGATTCAAACATTCATGGCTTGAAAATATTTTTAAAATTATATAAATTCCAAAAAGCGGGCCTTGATTTTGCCATTTATTTTATATAAGGGGAACCATTTTAATATCCATTGCATTTAATGGGACTTCAGCATCCATGGATTTTGGTATCCACGATTGGTGGGGGGGAGATGGGTGTCCTGGAACTAATCCCCAGTGTTATACCAAGAGCCCACTGTATTCCCAGCAGGTGAAGAAAGGAGATATATCCAGAGGGCGTCCATTTAAGGATAACTTATTTGGATCTTGAGGTTTCCTTCTGATCACCAAATTTACAAATCAGAAATACTTCAAAACATTTGAAGCTTTATCCTTTTGTGTAGTACAGTTGTACCTCTACATACGAATGCTTCATCTTACGAAAAATTCGA